ATTACCAGTGCTTTGAATTATGTATCTGATAGGTTGGCCATCTCTTGGTCGCTTAGATGTATTGGTTCTGGTGCTTTGATCTGTTCTTCTGTTTGAACCTTTTCTTTGTGTGTGTGTGTGGGGGGGGTCTGGTCACACCTGTTATGTATGAGGGGCGGAGCCTTAGTTGTTCACCAGGGCGGGGCAGCTAGTAACTGGGTTGTGACACTACCTGTGGGGGAGGGGTCCAACAGGCAACAATGGCGCTTGCTCTGCTCTCCCTCTCATATTTTAGTCCCTTCCACAGCTTCCCATAAGCAATGGAAATTGGGCTCTTCTGGTGCTGGTTCCCTGGTGGGTGTGCTTGTGTACATTCTAGGACCCTGTGGTTCTCTCCAATGAACTCTCCTGTGAGGCTGGGAGTCTCTCCTAGCAACTCCACCCTCACAAGTGTTTTCAATCGATGCTTTTAGGCTCTATTTCCTGGAACTGGGGCCCTGGGTTGCTCAGTCTGTCTAGCTCCTCATTTTTGCCTGCTTTATAAGTGTGCGAATGTTTGTCCATGGTCAGCCAGTGGCCTTGAGTGCCTCACTGGGTCTGCCAGCTGCCGCCTGCAGGTCCAGGACCACCAAGCACCATTCCTTCCTGCCACAACCCCTCTCCACTGGCTGCCAACTCCACCCCTTTTACAGTCTGGATGAATGGTTGTCGGACTTCCATACAGTTCAATTTTCTGTCAGATGTGGTTGTTTTATTGTTTCTAAATTTTTGTTGTCCTTAATTTTGGTTGTGCACGGAGGCACAGTGTGTCTAAGTACGCCTACATCTTGGCCGTAAGCCCAGACCATTTCCTTATATATCAGCAACAAACTAGTGAGTTTGAAACTAAAAACACAATACCATTCACATTATCACTCCTCAAATGAAATGCTTAGCTATAAATATAACAGTATATGTACAACACCTATAGAAGGAAAACCACAAAACTAACAGAATAAATCAAAGAAGAACTAAATAAGCTGAGAGAGATCCAGTACTCATGGACAGGAAGACTCAATATTGTCCAGATGTCAGTTCTTTCCAAGCTGATCTACAGATTTCATGCAATCCTAATGAAAACCCCAGAGAGTTATTTTGTAAATACCAGCAACCTGGTTCTAACAGTTTATATGGATAAGAAAAAGTTCCAGAATAGTCAAAACAACATCGAGAGGGAAGAAAAAACTCTGAGGACTGACACTACCTAACTTCAAGATGGACTATAAAGGTACAGTGATCAAGACAGAGCGGCATTAGCAAAAGAACAGACAAGCAGACCAATGGAACAGAACAGAGAGCCAAGAAACAGACCCACACAAGTACAGTTCACTGACATTTGGCAATGGAGCAAAGGCAGTGCAGTGGAAGGAGGACAGTCTATCAGCAAATGGTGGTGAAAAACTGGACATCCATATGCAAAACAAAACAAAAATCTAGAGAGAGATCTAACAATCTTTACAAAAATTAACTCAAAATGTATAGGCCTCATTGGAAAATACAAAATGATAAAATGCATATGAGAAAACACAGAAAAATTGAGATGACCTTGTGTATGGTATTGACATTTTCATTACAACACCAAAGTCACAATCCATGAAAAAATTGATCAGCTGGGCTGCCGTGGTCCAGCCTCGTCAGGGTCTCAGGGTCCCCAAAGGATGCATGGCTAAGGTGAAGAGACTGGAGTGAGACACCCGGTGGGGTGCCGGAGGGCAGCCAGGCTTTTTGGGCCCGACTGACTCACTGAGAACAATTGATCTTTATTTTCATAGGGGAGGTTATAGAACATTCAATGCATAATGTGATTATTAAAACAGAAACAGTTACCACAGAAATAATTTCTAAAAACACAGAAAATTTTTACACATTAATCATGTGAAACAAAGAAATAACTGAAAAGTACAGGAAGTCTCACAGATCAACCATATAAAACAAAGGTTATTTTCACCAAGAGGGTCATTAATCAGTTAGCCAAGGAAGCTATACAGGCACAAACTTGCAGGTGCCAATTAGTAACTAGGTATCTATTAAAATACTAGGAATTGGTCTAAATTAAAGGGGTACAAGGGGTGATTTATAGGTATATAGAAATCAACTATTATCCATTAAAATTAAATTTATCTCAATCAAATAACTAATTTTTGGCCTATATTTTTTGATTTATACATTTTGAGGAGGGGCCATGTTTTGTGTTTGTTTCCATGGATTGAGATTATTCTTCTCAACTGGAACTCCTTGTTTCTCTACACTCCTGTCTAGGGTATGGGAGGGGTAGTGGCTCTAATAAATCTTAAGCTTTCAGGTGGTGACTCCCTAAGAAACATTCCCAGCAACAGCTTCCTTCAGTGTTCTGGCAGTTGGTCTGTTCATAGTTTAATTTTGTCCTTAACTTCCCAGGTGAGGGAAACAGGCAACATTAGGGTTGCTAGGGGACTCTATTATGTGGTCAACAAGTCATTTCGTGCAGAATCAGAGGCATCGTGAAGATTTGTATTATAACACACAGGTATCTAAAAATCCCACCACCTATTGCTAGCAGGGACAGGCATACAGGAAGAGATAGACAGGAGATCCAACTATAGTCGCCTCTGCTGTGCAAATGCATCTCACCTGACCTGACTGTGTCAAAGGTCAGCTGTTGGTCGGCTTCCGACACTGGGTCATATTAAATTAAAAACTTCTGTTGTGACTCAGGCACTGTCAAGAGAATGAGAAGATAGGCACAATTCAACTTGATTCTCCCACTAGGGAGAATAAGTGGAAACATTTGCAAAAGACAAATTTAATAATGGATTGTTATCCAAATTATACAAAACTTTCTCAAAAATCAAAAATAAGAAAAAACTTATTAAAAATGTGTAAGAGATTTGAGCAGGCATTTCATCAAAGAAGACATACAGATGCAAACGAGTGTAGGAAAAGATGTTCAACAAGACATGTCATTAAAGATTGCAAAGTAAAACAACAATGAGATACCACTAAACACCTATTAGATTGGGAAAAATCTCTACCACTGACAACACCAAATGCTGGCAAGCATGCAGAGCAAAAGAAACTCTCTTTCATTGCTGGTGGGCATGTAAAGTAGTACAGCCACTCTGTAAAACAGTTTGGTGGTTTCTAATAAAGTTAAAAATAATCTTGCCATACAATCCAGCACTCAAATGAGTTAAAAATTGATGTCCATCAGAAACCTATGCAGGGATGGCATAGCAGCTGTTCATAAATGCCAACACCTGAAAGCAGCTGTGGTACTCTTCAGTAGATGATAGACAAACCATTGTAGGTACAGTGAGTGGAATATTATTCATCCCTGAGAAGAAAGAAAATGCATGAAAAGACATGGAGGAGTCTTAAATGAACGTTACTAAGTGAAAGGAGCCAATGTGAAAAAGGCTACATGTTGCATGATTCCACCTGTATGACGTTCTGGAAAAGGGCAAACTGAGGAGGCAGTAGAAAGACCAGTGGTTCCCAGAAGTCAGGGGAGAGACACAGGGAGGCACAGAGCTGTGGGGCACAGGGGTGTTTAGGGCAGTGACACTGTTCTGTGTGACACTGTAATGGTGGATTCATGCCTTTTACATTTGTACCGCAGGGGTGAACCGGAATGTAAAATAGGGGCTTTGGCTGATAACAGAGTGTCAGTGTAGGTTTGTGGTTTGTACCAAATGTCCCTCTCGGGTGGGCAGTGTTGATGGTGGGGGAGGCTGTGTAAATGTAGGGACAGGGGCATATGGGAAATTCGTACTTTTTGCTCAGTTTTGATGTGAACCTGAGTGGTTCGCAGTCATTTTTGCCCGTTTCCCTTCTTCTCCCTCCTTCCTTCCCCAAGGATCCTGATTCCCTCTCTCATTCTTACCCTTTGCCTCTCTGGTTGGTGTTTGAGACTTTCTCCACCAAGCAACCTCAGGGCTACAGTTCTTAGCTTCACCAGGGAGGGCGCTGAAGGCCCCTTAGCAACCTCAAGAAAAGTACTCAATTGAGAGGGTGAGCTGGTCATGTCAGTAAGGGCCCATCTTCGTGAATGCTTCCTGGTGTGCCATGTCCATGAAACCCCGTTCCCATGAAGGGTTAATGAAGACAAATGCATTGCCCAGGGACGGAGGTCCATCCTGGCAGTTGCAGTTATAACCCAGGCTCTTGAAAGCTCCATGACCCTACAGCCCACACCCTCAGGAAAGTAGTCAGAACTCACCAGGGCTGACATCAGAGCAATGATCAACTCCCCCTGCCCTGGCCCCAGCCAATCAGTGGAGCCCATGGCCCCAACCCCATTAGTCAGCACAGTGGACACTTTCCCCGTGTGTGATTGGGCTTGTGTGGGCCGTCAGAGACCAGGTTGGAGACCACTGGCTCTCCTGTGTCTCCAGGCTTGAGGCCATTTCCTTAAATGAACCTTGGCTCTCTTTGCTGCAAACTCCTATTGGCGTTTGCTTCGGCTTTGATGTTCAGGCAAAGGAACCCCCTTTAGTCTGGTCACAGCGTGGCTCTGTCCAGTGTCCTTTTCCAATGCAGGATGCGGGACACATTCTCTGTCAGGGAAGGTTCCAAAAGCCTATACCACAATTCTCTACACAGAGTTGCTGTCTGAAAGTTTCCTCCTTGAACTATGAGGTAAGACAGGGAAAAGATTAAAAGTGTTAATTTGTTTTCCTCCTGGAGGACAAGGTGTGAGTGAGGAAGGCTGTTTCTTCTGTGTGGGCTCTGGATTCTCCTCTCTGCCATGGAGGAATCCCTGCCTGGGACAGCAGGGGGCACTGCAAGACAGCTCTGGAGAGGGTGTGCTGGGTGTGCCCTCAGCTGGAAACCCAACCATCTGTTTGTTATCTGGGTGCCTCTGCCAGGTGCTGCCTGTGAACCGTGGGGAGTGTCAGACCCTGTCAGTCCAGGCCCCACCCTTCACAGCACCACCCCCAGGAGAAGCAGCAGAGACAAGAGTAGAAGAAGGGGCTGGGTCCTGCAGTTGGAAGGACTTATTTGCATCAAGAAACCTGTTCCTCTGGGGCACAGGGAAAGATAAAAGAGATCAGAGGTGCCCCCTGTAAGTGGAGAAACTCAGAAGGTGAAGCCTCAGCATTGTCCCTACCATGGACTGGACTCCTCTCCTCCTCACGCTCCTTACTCACTACACAGGTGCCTGGACCCTCAGGGCGGGAATGCGGCCCCAGGAGGACACACAGGCTGGGCCTGTTCTCCTGGAGTCCAGACTGAGTTGTTAGACCCTACTCACTGTCTCTGTCTTTCTTTCCTTTATTCCAGGGACCTGGGCCCAGTCTGGGCTGACCCAGGAAGCCTCAGTGTCAGGGTCTCTGGGTAAGACTGTCACCCTCACCTGCACTGGAAGCAGCAACAATGTTGGATACAGTGGTGCAAGCTGGTACCAGCAGGTCCCTGGAGCTGCCCCCAAACTTCTCATGGATCGTAGCAACAATCGACCCTCAGGGATCCCGGCTCGGTTCTCTGGCTCCCGTTCAGGAGCCAAGGCCTCCCTGACCATCTCGGGGTTGCAGCCTGAGGACGAGGCTGAGTACTACTGTCTGTCTTATGATAGTAGCTACGATCACACAGTGCTCCAGACTCAGGGAGAGGTGAGACCAAAACTCCCCAGGCGCCCCCGTGTTGGGTCTGCCCTCACGGTTCTGCACCAAGGAGGGGCACTCTTTTCTGTCTCTTGCAAGAAATTGTGTGTTAAGATTGTAGGTTTCTAAGCCCCTTTATTTTCTTTCCAAATTTTCCTCATGTGTGGATGATTGAGTGCCTATTTCTTTGCAATCTGTTCAGGCAGGTGAGTGAGTTCAGAACAAGGAGGAGAGGTTTTGCATTTCTGATAATGAGGATGGAGCCATTGCTTGGGGGGGGTCAGTTCTGTGCATGCGGGACAGTTAGATGTAGCCTTTGCACTCTGCACACACATGACGGTAGCAGCCTCTCCTGTAAGTCAAGACCCAGGAAACCACATGCAGACATTTCCAAATATGCCCTGAGGGGGCCCCATCACCCCAACTTGAAGCCCATGGGATTAAAAGGATATGTCCTCAGCTGTTAGGCAGCTTTGGCCTTGAGTCCTGCTCATGCCAGTCAGCTGGATGGGGACTAGACGTCTCATCTCTCTGTGTTTCTGAGTTCCCATCTGTTAGACAAAACAGTCACCCAGACTCACATGGGGTCAGAGCCTGTGACCCAGTCTCCTCTTAACCAGAGTGCAGTACGAATTTAGTCCAAAATCTCTGTGCTGTTAATATGTTGAAATTTTTCACAATGAACATACAATATATAATGTCTACCTTCATTTATTCTCTTAGGCAGTATTTTCAAGCCTGAGACACAGAGATGAACAAACACAAGATAGGGTCTCCTGTCCATGGGGTCAGGTGTGTGTGGGTCCTGGAGCACAGACAGGAGCAGCAGGTGGGTGAGGAGCAGGCACTGAGGACAGAAAACAAGATGACCTCCATGAGCATGTGACCTGCCCAGGGCAAGGTGGTTGTTTGAGTGTCTGCTCACATTTCCCTTAAATAACAGTCTGTAAGGTCATCAGTGGTCAACTGGGACTAACACACAGCTCAAAGTCCACCATGTGATAATTGAAACATAATATTCCCCTTCTGACCCAAAGTCTCACTAGCGACATTGGTGGCAAAACTCCTGAAGGAAGAACCGGATGCTTGAAATCTGTGTGTGAACCAGACAGGATTCTACCCTGAGACGTGGGTGAAGGGAGCCGATAAATGATGGTCCGAGGCCGTGTGTGCTGGTTTGGGCTCCTTCTGCTCACACGTGTCACCCTTGAACCTCATGACTCCAGACACAGGAGGCCCTGTTCCTCCTTCCCTCTGTTACTCAGCACAGCAGTCAGTCAGCTGACCATTCTGTAGATGACAACACAAGACATTTATGTGACAGTGGTTGGAACTTTCTGTTGTGCTGTGCAATATTTGGGGACATAAATGATATTTATGGTACAATATGTGCCAAGGAGGGACGTGGTGAGTGGGTGTGTTCTCATGGTCAGTGAGGGAGCAGAGTGAGAGGTACGGGGAGTAGAGGGTTAAACAGGAGGAGTCCCATGCATGGGGTTGAGTTAGCATAAAGGGTTCAGTTGGTTCTTTGAACTCTTCTCCATAGTTAGTGTGACTTCAACATTGTCATATTAATTTTCTGGTGCCGTCTGTGATGACATGGCATCCTGTATTGAGAGCCTCTCAGAATGGCTGAAAGATGTGCTATGACCATGATTCAAGTTTAATCCTATTTTCTCTCAAAGGACAGAGGAGGAGTCACCCTGAGCACCATGAAGGGACAGGCATCAGGAATCGAAGTAATAGGAAACGGTTGGGAGGGGGAAGCTGGAGGTCCGAGAGCATGTGGAGGAGCTGCGTGGTGGGTGTGGAGGAGATGGGGCCACCCTCGAAGCTCCCTGAGGACAGCTGAGGAGTTGGGGTTCTGTGCAAACAGCAGTGAGGAGTCAGTGAGGATTGTGAGCAGGGGGTGACCTGTCTGAGATGCATGAGAAAGACCCTTGAGTGCCTCGAGGACACAGTGTCCAGAGTGAGGAAGAGATTGTGGTCAGAGTCATTGACTAGGAGTGCCTGTGAGTCTAGACATGTGGGGACCATGGGACCGTGGGCACAGGTACAGCAGAGGTGGACCCGGGCTCAGAGGGACGTGCTGGTCTGTGCCTCCAACTGCCCAGACACTCAGCTCGTCTGCACACACGTGACACCCGACTGGTATCTTGTTACTAAAGTGAGACAATGAGAGAGAAAATTAAGGTAGGAAGTTTTGTTAAAATTATTAACTAATGTGAGGTCACCCAAGACAAAATTCTAACAAGAAAAGCATGACAGAAGTATGGAGAACACTGAGAATGTAATATAAGAGTAAATTATGAATAAAAGTTAATTCTGAAAATGAAGTAACATGCCACACTTTCCACTGTTAAATGTGAATGCTTCAAAAGCCATTCTTCTTAGCAATCATTTAATCAAATCAGATGTATGAAGCCTGACATGCATCACGTGACTTGAAATATTTACTGAGTCTGCCTCCTCTGCATGCATCTCTGAGTCTGTTCCTGGGAATTTCTCTGTAAAGCCAACTCTAACCCTTCAAAGGGTGAACAACATTCACAGATGAATGTTCCCCTCATGTGTGACATTGAACATGAATCTTATTTGCATTTATTTTTGCAGCATCTTCAGTGAATGTGAAACAAATCCCTTTGTCCCTTACGACCATGTTTGCCCCTCCCTCAAAAGGAGACCCCTGGGGACCTCTGACATAATTTTGTATCAGAGTCACAGTTGTGGTAACCTTCACATGGGTGAGTGAGTAGAGACTGTCACCTGCTGAGCTGTGAACACCAGCTGGTCTCTCAGGGCCTTGGGTGACATGGGGAGGTGTTACCACTGCCACCAGCAGGAGGCACTGTGTGGTGGTCCTGGGTTGCCTACCAAGTTGCTTACTAGGGACCATTCACTGATAGGAGCCTGGGCCTGGTTGCTGGGCCCTGGGCACACTGAACGGGAATCAGCAGCTGCGTCCTCTGTGACCTGATGATGTCCCCTGAGAAAGGACCACTGTGTTGATTCAAGAGGTGCTTTCTTGTAGGGCTCTCCCAAGGGGTGAGGCCAAAGTCCATCCCTGTCAGTGTGGGATGAGGTGAGCTCCAGCACCAGGGCTCAGGGAGGGGCTGGACAGCCTGAGGAAGGACACACATTTGCATGGACGGCCCCTCCCCTGGCAGAGGGAGGGCAGAAAAGGAGGCCTGGGCAGTCCAGCCCCACTGTGGGCTCAGGGGCTGTGTGCACCATGGCCTGGACCCCTCTCCCCTTGTGTTCTTCTCTCACTGCACAGGTAGGGACGGGCCTCGGGGACCAGGGTTCGGTTCCCAAGTTTATTCTCCTTCTGCTCCATCTCCTGAGAAGCTTCCCTGGTTCTGCTCCATCACTGACAAGTGTCTCTGTTTGAAGGTTCCCTCTCCCAGCCTGTGCTGACTCAGCTGCCCTCCCTCTCTGCATCTCCTGGAGCCACAGCCAGACTCACCTGCACCCTTAGCAGTGACTACAGTGTTGGCAGCTATTACATAGGCTGGTTCCAGCAGAAGCCAGGGAACCCTCCCCAGTATCTGGTGTGGTATAAATCAGACTCAGAGAAGCACCAGGGCTCCGGGGTCCCCAGCCGCTTCTCTGGATCCAAAGGTGCCTCGGCCAATGCAGGGATCCTGCTCATCTCTGGGCTGCAGCCTGAGGACCAGCCTGACTATTACTGTGCTGTATACCATGACAGTGAAAGCAGCAATGGTTACTTACGTGAAGACCTGGAGTGACTGTGTGTTCCTGGGTGGCAGAGAGAGAGAGAGAGAGAGAGAGCGAGAGCGAGAGAGAGAGTGAGTCCCTGGCATTGTGTTACCTTGGGCTTAGAAAGGTCTAATACTTGTTCAAAATAACTAATCAACTTCTAAAACTTTCACAACTTTGCACTGGGCCAAACTTCTAGCCAATCATGGCTCCGAATGCTACACAGGCTTCATAGAAGCACCTCCTCCTGCACCTTTGCACTTCTCGTGCACACGTGCTTACCCTCCCCTGGTCTCCAGAACACCTGGCCCTGGAGGCTGGGCTGCTCCCTCCATGGGGAGGGAAAGGTGTTGATCCCCTTGAAGGGACAATACTGCCATCCACTGGGGATGCTTCCCCAGTGAAGCTGTGGCTTCCTGGCTAAGCAAACAGGCTTATGCTTCCCGGTTGATCACGCTAAACAAATTCCCTTTTCTTCCTTCCTTCCTTTATTCATATCCAGCTAACATGTGCATAGCAGCCTGTTTATTCCCTGGTACCAGCCTGGGTTTCACTCATTCTCTGAGTTTGAAACCACAGAGAATTTGTTTTTCACCTGATTTAAGACCTTTGTGAAGCCCTTGAATTCCCACCAACTGGGGAATGCTGCCTCAGTGACTCCTCATACCATTGAGCAGTTCTGAACAATCTTATGACTAAGGAATGTGTACAACTGGGAGAATGACTTGAAAAGATGGAGAACATAAGGTGTTACTGGGAAATTAGGTGTGTAACAACGAGGGACCACCAGGTTCCCATCAGCACGGCCAGCACTCACACACTGACGACAGCAGAGGCTCCCAGGCTGTGGGGCTGCAGGGACTCTCATTCGTGCTGCGGGGACGCCCCAGCCATGGGCACCTTTGAAGACACTTTGGCAGTTTCTCACAAATTAAACATGCTCTTGTGTGATACAACACAGAAAGCACTTTCACAGGTCTTTATTTAACTCAGTCACTTGTGTACAAACATGCATATGTACACGAAGTTACAGCTCATTTATTCACTTAGAAATAAGTTCGTTAAAACTTAGAAAGCATCTGCCATGTCCTTTAGTAGGTGAATGAATGAACAAACTGTCTATTTCTATAATGGAACAATACAACTGGAAGTAGCAATAAACAATCTATCAGGCCAGAGAAGGACATGGAGGAAGCTAACACCCATATTTCTAAGTGAAGGGAGCCAATGTGAAAAGGCTGGGACTGGAAAGGGCACAGGATCAGAGCCACCAGCAGGGCAGGAGCCCTGAGCACCAGCCCCTGCCTGAGGGCGCCATGTCTCCTGTTTCCACCAGAGGGCGGCTGTGCCTCACATTCCTCACCTGTGAGTCTTGCCTGTTTCCTGTGTCATCTTTGGGTTGTAGCCCTCCCACTCCTGTGATGTCTTCTTCTCAGCAGGAATCCTGACTTTTGTTAAAGGAAGGGTATGTACAGCCAATAAAAGGGAAGATTTGCATGAAGACCTCCCACTCTAAGCCTCAGGCTGACATAAAGGTCTGAAGACTCAGGCCTGGCTGTGGGGCTCAGGAAGCAGAGTCTGGGGGTGTCTCTACCATGGACTGGGCTGCACTTCTCCTCACTGTCCTGGCTCACTGCACAGGTGGGGCCTGAGGGGGATTCTGGGAGGCCACAACCTTGTCCCCTGGGTCTATGACACTCCTCCCTCCCTGGGAACAGGGTCTGTCCTGTCCTCACTGATTTCTGTGTTCTTCCTCCTTGCAGGGTCTTGGGCCCAGTTTGTGCTGACTCAGCCTGGCTCTGTGTCTGGGTCTCTGGGACAGAAGGCCACCATCTCCTGCACCCGTAGCAGTGGTAACATTGGGAGCAGCTATGTGTACTGGTACCAACAGCGCCCAGGCAGGGGCCCCACCACTGTGATCTATGGTAATAACAACAGACCCTCTGGGGTTCCGGATCGGTTCTCTGGCTCCATAGACAGCTCCTCCAACACTGCCTCCCTGACCATCTCAGGGCTGCAGCCTGAGGACGAGGCAGACTACTACTGTCAGTCTTACTACTATAGTAGTGATAGTGGTGTCTACAATCACACAGTGCTGCAGACTCAGGGGGAAGTGAGACCAAAACCCCCAGAGCTTCCCCTTCTGGGTCTGTACTCAGCCTGTCCCCACCAAGGAGGGTGGTCTCCTCTGTCTCCTGCTCGAAAGTTTGTGTAGACATTGGAAGCTTCTGAGTCCCTCTGTTTTCTTTCCAACTTTCCCCCTGTCAGGGAGGTTGGTTGCCTGTTTCCTGAACCATGAATTGCTGAGGGTGAGTTAGTTCAGAGCAGGGTGTGTGAGCCTGTGTGTTTGTGGAATGGGGGCAGGTCAGTGGTTGTGGGGGGCTGTTCTGTGCACATGAGGCATTTAGATGTGTCCTTTCATCTATGCTCATAAGATGACAGGGACACGCTCTTGTTAAGTTATGACCCACGGCGCCACCTCCAGATTTCCAGATGTCCCCTGAGGGGGCGAATGACGTCTGTGTGACACCCACTGTGTTAAATGGATGAGTTCTCGGATGTTAGGCAGCCTTTGCCTTTGAGTCCTGTTCATGCGAGTCAGCTGGTCAGGGACTAATGTGCCTTCTCTCTGTGCTTCTGTGTTCCCATGTGTGAGAAAAAGAGTCACACAGACTCAGGTGAGGTCAGAGCTTGCAGCTGAGTCATGTGGAAAGCCCTGTCACTCAGTGTGAAGGACAGAGAAGGACAGCGAGTGCGGGGGCAGGAAATTAGGGCTGGACGATTGAGCGAAGGGAAAGGACTGATGGACATGGACGACAGTGCGGTGATTGCTGAGGTGAGGAGACTGTAAGGTTAGTAAAAGTTAATGGAAACTAATATATTAAAGATTAAATGAAACAAACAAAAAACCAAACAGAAATTAATGTGTGAAGCATAATTTTTGGCCAAAATACATATGTAGTTAATATACCGAAATTTTACACATTGCAGATAACACATTTCATATGTTTTCATTTATTCTCTTAGGGAGTGCATTTCAAGCCTGAGACACAAGGTGAATGAACACATGACAGGGTCTCGTGCCCTTGGGGCAGGTGTGTGTGTGGGTCCTGGAGCACAGACAGGAGCAGTGGGTAGGTGGGGAGCAGATACTGAGGACAGAAGACAAGACAACCCCCATGAAAGCCCAGAGCACAGTGATTGTTTGAATGTCTGCTCACATTTCCCTTAAATAATAGTCTATAAGGTCATCAGTTGTCACCTGAGGCTAATACACTGCTCAAAATCCACCATCTGGTCAACAAAGTGTAATAATCAACTTTTCAACCCGTAGTCCCACAAGGGACTTTAGTGCAGAAACTCATGGAGGAAGAGGCATACATTTGAAATCTCTGTGTGAATGAGACACGATTCTGCTCTGTGATGTGGATGAAGGAAGGCAATAAATGATGGTCCAAGGACATGTGTGCTGGTCTGGACTTCCTTCTGCTCACACGTGTCATCCGTGAACCTCATGATTCCAAACACAGGAGGCCCTGTTCCCTCTTCCCTCTGTCACTCAACACAGCAATCAGTCAGCTGAACATTCCAGAGATGACAACACAGCACATTTATGTGACAGTGGTTGGAACCCACTGCTGTCCTATGCAAGAGATTGAGGACACAAATGCTATTAGTGCTACAAACTGCTGAAAGGGACATGGTGTGTGGATGTGATTTTATCGTTAGTGAGGGGGCAGAATGAATGCTACAGAAGATAGAGGATTAAACAAGAGGAGACCTATGTTGTTGGTTGTGTTGGTATAATGGGTTCAGGTGGTTCTCTAAAGTCTTCTGTATAGTTCGTGTGACTTCCACATTGCCATGTTCATTGTCTAATTCTGTCTGTTACTGTGTTCACTCCCTACTACTGAGAGCCACTGAGAATGGCGGAAATGTGTGCTGTCCCCATGATTCAAGTTAATCCTACTTCCTCCCAAAGGACAGAGGAGGAGACACCTTGAGCACCATGAAGGCACTGGAGTCAGGAATCTGAAGTAACAGGAAAGCAGGGAATGCTGGAGGTCTGAGAGCAGGTGGAGGGGCTACATGGTGGGTGTGGCAGAAATGGGGCCAACTGTGACACCCTTTGAGGACAGCCAAGGAGTTGGGGTTCTGTGCAAATAGCAGTGGGGAGCCCCTGAGGGTTTTGAGCGAGGATGACCTGCCTGAGCTGCATGAGAAAGACCCCTGGAGTGCCTTGAGGACACAGCATCCAAGGTGAGCAGGTGATCCTGGTCAGAGTCATTAACTAGGAGTCCGCGTGAGTCTAGGTGTGTGGGGACCATGGGACCGTGGGCACAGGTGCAGCAGAGGTGGACCCGGGCACAGAGGGACATGGTGGTCTCTGCCTCCAACTGCCCAGACACTCAGCTAGTCTGTACACCCATCACACCCGACTGGTATCTTGTTACTAAAGTGAGACAGTGAGTAAGACAATACAGCTAGGGAAAGAACTCTTCATAATATGAAATATTTGAGGACTCCCAGGAAAAATCCTAACAAAAGCAATGGCACAGGTCTGCAAAACATCACAAACTAAGACAAAAAGTCAGATCGTGAAATGAATAAGCATAGTATTCACTGGTAAATGTGTAGCCTTCAAAAACCAGTATATTCATCTATCACTTAATGTAATTAGATCTGTGGAAACTGTACATGCATCACGGGACTTCAAATTTTTCTAAATAGTCCTTTGCACATGCCCATGAGTGTATTCCTGGAGATTTCCCTCAGCAGATCCTTTGAGCCCTTCACACCAGATAGTCCTGTTGTCTGGCATTGGACATGAACGTCACTGTGCCTTTACCTTGCAACATTTTCATTGAAAGCAAATCCAAATTAATTTGTCATTAACATACTTGTTTGCCCCTCCCATTGTTGTGGTTTCCTGGGAGTGAGATGTCCCAGTAAGCAGGACAGTGTATCAGAGTCTGGGTATCTGAGAACCCGTGTTGCGCTCGTTCAAGGCCGGGCAGGTGCATGGTATTCGTGCAGACGGAAGAATATTCACAGAGCCGTTGGGATGCCTGGCATGCCTGTGTTCACGGGTGGGTGAGCCACGCAGGCTGCAAGCTGCGTGTCTATCTGCACACCTCTGCATGGCACATGTCACAGCCTTTGCTCCCCAGCATGGCACCTATTGTGGCACCTGTCTCCTTGCATGTGTCTCTGCACGTCTCTCTAATGAGGAGCCCCTACATGTTTAAAACTAGAGGGAACACAGCTGGGAAAATGCATAACATCACATCACACAGTAGAATTCTGCACATGTCAGCTCACTTCAAGTTATGGGAAGAGTTTATCAGACCCAGGCTCAAGGCTACGAGACACTTGTTATCAGACCCTCCAAGGCCATGGGAACACTGCTTCCTCAGCTACCCAGACCCTGGGTGAGGAAGCCAGGCTGCCTTCACTCCCCCTACAGCCGCAGAGCCAGGATCCATGAAGACAGTGACCTGGTGAACTGCAGAAAGCAGCTGGGTTCTCAGGGCTCTGTGCCGTGGGAGGTGTGTGCACTGGCACCAGCAGGGGGCACTGTGGGACTGCCCTGCGGACCCCGCACAGCTGCTAATTAAGGCCCATTCACTCCTAGAAGCCTGGGTCTGGGGACAGAGTTTGTGCTCACTGGTGGGGACTCAGCAGCTGTGTCCTCTCAGGCCTGGCACAGTCCCATGGCCTTCTGTATTGTCTCAGCAGGTGCTTCCCCCAGGCCTGTCCCAAGGGGTGAATCCACCTTCATCTTCTCTTGTCTGGGGTGTGAGCTGAGCTCCAGCACCAGGGCTCAGGGAGACGCTGGGCAGCCCCTGGATAGACACACACTTCCATGGACAGCCCCTCTCCTGGCAGAGGGTGGGGAGAAAAGGAGGCCTGGGCAGCCCAGCCCCACTGTGGGCTCAGGGCCTGTGTGCACCATGGCCTGGACCCCTCTCCTCCTCGTGCTCCTCTCTCACTGCACAGGTAGGGACAGGTCTCCGGGATCAGACCTCAGTTCCCAAGTTTATTCCCTTCCTGCTCCATCTCCTGAGAAAATTCCCGTGGTTCCACCCCATCAGTGACAAGTGTCTGTGTTTCTGCAGGTTCCCTCTCCCAGCCTGTGCTGGCTCAGCAGCCCTCCCTCTCTGCATCTCCTGGAGCCACAGCCAGACTTACCTGCACCCTCAGCAGTGGCTTCAGTGTTGGGGGCTACTACAGAAACTGGTTCCAGCAGAATCCAGGGAGCCCTCCCCGGTATCTCCTGGCATATAAATCAGACTCAGAGAAGCTCCAGGGCTCCGGGGTCCCCAGCCGCTTCTCTGGATCCAAAGATGCCTCGGCTAATGCAGGGTTCCTGACCATCTCTGGGCTGCAGCCTGAGGACGAGGCCGACTATTACTGTGCTGCAGAGCATGGCAGTGGGAGCAGCTACAGTGACTCACAGTGGCTCAGATGCCGAGGAAGTGAGACAGAAAGCCCTGGGCCCAGAGGTTATGCTCTGAGCCTCACTGAAGCTTCTGTGGGGGCCTCTGCAAAGTGGGCTCCTCTGCAGTCAGAAACGTCCATGGAAGGGGGCGGAGCAGCACACAGTCATGAGTGAGAGCACAGGGCGTCCCCGGGTCACTCTCTCTGAAGGGGTGACAAAGCCTGACTGACCATCCCCACAGTGTCTGGGGTAAATTTTAACAGAATAAATATTTTTAGATAAAAATCTCATTTCTTTCATCTGTAGTGTCTTGGTTTCTACTCACACACAACCTTTCACTTTTGATATTTTTGGTCATAAAATGTGTGTATGATTTTTCTTCAGAAGAAGCAATTCCCTGTGACACCAGCTGGATGTCCCACCACACAACTCAGCTCCCACACGACTGTCTGGAGACAGTGTCAGGGCCACAGTGAGGGGCTCCGTCCCACGGGACTGCCTGCTCTTCAGGTGACGGTCACACGCAGCAGGTCTCCCAGGTCTCATACAACTTCTTGGGTGTTTACTCCAAGCCTACACTGCTCTCTTCTTCTTCCTCTTTTCTCATGATTATTTATTTATTTATTTATTTATATTTGGAGAGAGGGAAAGGGAGGGAGAGAACCATCAGTGTGTGTTTGCTCCCAAGGGCCCCCTACTGGGGACCTGGCCCACAACCCAGCCATGTGCCGTGACTGGGAATCAAAACTGCGACTCTGGCTGTAGGCTGGTGCTCAGTCCCCTGAGCCACAGCAGCCAGGGCTGTAATGGTGTCTCCTTTGGTTTCACTGATGTGTTAGATTCACTTACTAACTTCGCCTGAGCACTTCTCCCTCCTTAAGGAAAGTTCATACAGGTGTGAAAATTCCAAGCTTTGAATCGTTCCTCTGTGTATGAGGGAGCTGTCTGTACTGGGGAGCCCACCCAGAGTCACCCCATCAGAACAACAGGCTGCCTGTCACACAGGAAATCTGAGGGGTTCAGGAGTTCTGTGTCAGAGATCAGGGACTGAGATTGATATAGATTTTCTGTTCCCTCACAAACTGTGTCTGCAGCTAAAAAGGATGACCAGTCAGTCACTGTCACCTCCCAATTAAAGCCGTGATGTGTGAGTACTGTGTTACTCATGACCCATCACACTGACACGCTAATCTCGACCCTGGTTACAGACGGACTTTTCTCCTCTCAACACACCTGCGACCCTCTGGTCAGAACCCCGGCAGATGCGCACTGCCCAGGCCCCGCCCACCGCCCTCCCCTCTCTGCCCCTCTGCAGCCCCCTCACCCCCTTCCTCTCCCCTCCCTCTCTGGCCCTTCAGGATGAACTGGGTCTCCACTCCAGGGTTTCCGAGAAAAGTGAGAGGTCCTTTCTGTGGGTGTCACTCCCCAGGGCTCGGTCTCTAGGGAGGGGGATGAACAGACATCAATCCTCAGGAAGTTCCTCCACAATCTCATTTCCAGAAGCCTGCCCCTCTGCCACATCTGTGTCTGTCCCTCCATGGAAAACATTCATCTGTATCCTAAGCAAGGCCAGAACAAAGGCCAGTGTCCAGAGTTTCTGTTTCATATTGAAGCTTAGTCCTTTGGATCCCACCAGGTCTGCTGTGGGTTCTGGTTGGCTGCTATACACACACTGTCCATATGGAGAGAACACGTGAAGACATGGGGTGACTGTATGTTCCTGGGGGAGAGAGAGGGAGAGAGAAAAACTCTTTGTTCCCAGGCATTGTGTTACCTCAGGCTTAGAAAGGTCTAATAGTTGTTCAAAATAACCAGTGAACTTCCCAAGCTTCCACAGCTTTGCACTGGGCCAGACTTCTAGCCAGTCATGGATCTGAATGCACAGGCTTCATAGAAGCACCTCCTCCTGCACATTTGGACTTCTTCTGCATGTGTGCTTACCCTCCCCTGGTCTCCAGGACAACTTGGCCCTGGAGGCGGGGCTGCTCCCTACATGGGGAGGGAAAGATGTTGATCCCCTTAAAGGGACAATGCTGCCATCCCCTGGGGATGCTTCCCCCGTGAAGCTGTAGCTTCCTGGCTAAGCAAGCAGGCTTTTGCTCCGCAGTTGATGATGCTTAATAAATCCCTTTGCCTCCTTCCTTCCTTTATTCATACCAAGCTAACATGTGCACAGCAACCTGTATATTCCCTGGTACCAGCCTGGGTTTTACTCATTCTCTGAGCTTGGAGACCACAGAGAATTTGTTTTTCACCTGATTTAGGACCTTTGTGAAGCCCTTGACTTCCCACGCACTGGGGAATGCTACCTCACTCCCCTACCCTCATACCAATAAGCAGTTCTGAACAGTCTTATGACTAAAGAACATGTACAACTGGGAGATCAATGTGAAAAGATGGTGAACATAAGTTGTTACTGGGAAATTACATATGTAACAACGAGGGACCACCAGGTTCCCATCAACATGGGCAACACCTATCCTCTGATGACAGCATAGGCTCCCAGGCTGTGGAGCGACAGGGACTCTCATTGGTGCTGCTGGGACCCACCAGTCATGGACATCTTTGAAGACACTTTGGCAGTTTCTCACAAAGATAACACACTCTTGTGTGATACAACACAGAAATCATGCTCCTAGGTCTTTATTGTCAGAGGTCACTTGTGTTCAAACAAGCAAATGCACATGAAGTTACATCTTATTTATTCATGTTTGTTAAAACTTAGAAAGCAGCTGCTATGTCCTTCAGTAAGTGAATGACTCGACAAAACACCCTCTGGTCCACATACGATGGAACAATATGATTGGCAACACCAATAAACAATGTATCAGGCCACAGAAGGACATGAAGGAAGCCAACATGCACATTTCTAAGTCAACGGAGCGAACTGGAAAAGTCTGGGACTGGGAGGGGCACAGGATCAGGGCCAGGGGAAGGGCAGGACCCTTAGCACCAGCACCAGCACCAGCACCAGCACCAGCCTGAGGGCACCATGTCTCCTGTATCCACCAGAGGGCGACCGTGCCCCACATTCCTCAGTTGAGAGACCTACCCCTGACTCTTGGTTCTTACTGTGTCATCTTTGGAGTGAAGCCCTCCCACTCCTGTGTTCTCTTGGTCTCATCAGGAGCCCTGGCTTGGTTAAAGGAGAGCCTTCAAAGGCCAATAAAAGGGAAGATTTGCATACAGACGTCCAGCTCTGAGCCTCAGGCTGACATAAAGGTCTGAAGACTCAGGCCTGGTTGTGGGGCTCAGGAAGCAGAGTCTGGGGGTGTCTCCACCATGGACTGGGCTGCACTTCTTCTCACTGTCCTGGCTCACTGCACAGGTGGGGCCTGAGGGGTGTTCTGGGAGGGCAACACCTTGTCCCCTGGGTCTATGGCATTCCTCCCTCCCTAGGAACAGTGTCTGTCCTGTCCTCACTGATCTCTGTGTTTCTTCTTTTTGCAGGGTCTTGGGCCCAGTTTGTGCTGACTCAGCCCGGCTCTGTGTCGGGGTCTCCAGGACAGAAGGTCACCATCTCCTGCACCCGCAGTAGCGGCAACATTGAGGATGGTTATGTGTACTGGTACCAACAGCGCCCAGGCAGGGGCCCCACCACTGTGATCTATAAAGATAACCAAAGACCCTCTGGGATTCCAGATCGGTTCTCTGGCTCCATAGACAGCTCCTCCAATGCTGCCTCCTTGACCATCTCGGGGCTGCAGCCTGAGGACGAGGCTGACTACTACTGTCAGTCTTATGATAGTAGTAGTAATCACACAGTGCTGCAGACTCAGGGGGAAGTGAGACCAAAACCCCTAGAGCTTCTTTTTCTCGGTGTTCTCTCAGCCTGTCCCCACCAAGCAAGTGCCCTCTTCTGTCTCCTGCTGAAAAGTTTGTGTAGAGATTGCAGGTCTCTGAGTCCCTCTATTTTCTTTCCAACTTTCCCCCTGTGAGGGAGGTTGGTTGCCTATTTCCTGTACCATGAATTCCTGAGGGTGAGTTAGTTCAGAGCAGGGTGTGTGAGCCTGTGGGATTGTGGAATGAGGATGGGTCAGTGCTTGTGGAGGGTCTGCTCTGTGCATGTGGGACACTCAGATGCTTCTTTGGAGTCTGCTCATAGATGACAATGACACCCTCCTTTTAAGTTATGACACACTGAAACCTCCAGATTCTCATATATGCCCAGATGGGGCCCAATCCCCCTAGGTGGAGAGCCATGGGGTTAAAAGGACAAGTTCTCAGCTGTTAGGCAGCCTTTGCCTTTGAGTCCTGTTCATGCGAGTCAGCTGGATGGAGACTAAGGTGCCATCTCTCTGTGCTTCTGGGTTCCCATCTGTTAGACAAAAGACTCACACAGACTCAGATGAGGTCAGACACAGTGAGTATCTGGGTGAGCCTGGGACCCAGCCATGTGGGAAGTCCTGTCAATCAGTGTGAAGTGCAGCCGGAAGAGAGGTAGTAGGAGAAGGGTGAGGCTAGGGGTGGAGGGGTTGAGCAAAAAGGAGACGGACTTATGGCCATGGACAACAGTATGATGTTTGCTGGGAGAGGAGGGCATAACGGGTCTAAATGTTAGTGGAAAAAATATAATAAAGATTAAATTAAATGAACAAACTCCCAATGTGTCAAGTATAATATTTGGCTAAAGTACATGTGCAGTTAATATTTTGAAATTTTACACATTGCACCCAAAAATATTTCACATCGACATCATTTATTCTTTTAGGGAGTGTATTTCAAGGCTGAGACCCAAAGGTGAATGAGTACATGACAGAGTCTCGTGCCCTTGGGGTCAGGTGTGTGTGGGTCCTGGAGCACAGACAGGAGCAGCAGATGGGGGAGGAGCAGACACTGAGGACAGAAGACAAGACAACGCTCATGAGCAAATACCTGCCCAGGGTAAGGTGGTTGTTTGAGTGTCTGTTCACATTTCACTTAAATAACAGTCTGTAAAGTCATCAGTTGTCACCTGAGACTAACACACAGCTCAAAGTCCACCATCTGGTCAATGAAACATAATATTCAACTTCTCAACCCAGAGTCTCACAAAGGACTCGAGTGGGGAAGTTCATGAAGGAAGAACCATTGGTTTGCAATGTCTGTGTGAACGAGACAGGACTCTGCCCTGTGACGTGGGTGAAGGAAGGCAATAAATGATGGTCCCAGGCCATGTGTGCTGGTCTGGACTTCCTTCTGCTCCCACGTGTCACCCGTGAATCTCGTGACACCAAACACAGGAGGCCTGTTCCCCCTTCACTCACTCAGAACAGCATTCAGTTTGATATGGATCCCAGCTTGTGGGGTCCGTGTCATTATGGATGAAGTGAGACATTCACACAGATTACTGAATCCAGTGGAGGAAAAGGGACAGCATGGCTTTTCTCTCAAGGAGATCAGGAGCCTCTGCCCTTGCTCTAATGAGCTTTTATTGTCTTACGGGGCACATGAGAAAAAGGTCCTCATTAACTATGCACAGGCTGTTTACCTTTCACAGAAAACAAAGGAGCCAATGCTGCTAATCACATCACAGAAGAGGGATATTTGCAAATGAAAAGGCAAAAGTAGTTGGACTGGTTACACTGGTCCTTGGAAGGTTTAGCATGGATTTTAGGAAGTTGCTTTGCAGTAAATGTCTTCAATTTAGGGTGAGGGTGTTTTAGTAAAAAGCAAGACTCATAGTGGCCTAAGTACATTGCAGGCCTGATTCCCCACGGGAGAACCTGTCCTTCGGTGTGGGTCCTGTGCACGTGCAAGTGGGAGCTGTGCCCACGCCATGCAGAACAGTTTCCTACGTAAGTTAGCTGAGGATTCCCGAGATTTCTACACCCGCACATTTATGTGACAGTAGTTCGACAGTAGTTGCTGTCCTGTGCAAGAGTTTGGGGACATAAATTGTATTTATATTAAATACATCCCAGTGAAGAGACGTGCTGTGTGGATGTGTTTGTTACAGTCAGCGAGGGAGCAGAGTGAACGACAGAGAGGACTGGACAAGGGGGGTCCTGTGGATGGGGGCTGAGGGGGCGGGGTCGATGTGCACAGATCTTAAACACTCCTCTGTAGCTTGTGTGGGTTCCACATTGTCATATTATTTCTCTAACCCTGTCTGCAATGACATGTGCATGCTCTACTACTGAGAGCCACTCAGATTTGCCAAAATGTGAATAGTCACCATGACTCAACTTTAATCCTCTTTGCTTCCAAAGGACAGAGGAGGCGCTGTCTGGGACACCATGAAGGAAAGGACTAGGGGATCTGAAGTAGCAGGGAAGTCTGGGAAGCTGGAGGTCTGACCCAGAGGAAGGTGCTATGTGCTGCAGGGGAGAGACTGGGGCTCCTCCATGAACCCCCTGGGAGAGCTCAGGAGTTGGGGTTCTGTGCAAACAGCAGTGAGGAGCCCCTGTGGGTATTAAGCAGAAGGTGACATGACTGATCTGTATGAGAACCACCCCTCAAGTGCCTTGAGGACACAGTGCCCAAGGTGAGCAAGTGATTCTGGTCAGAGTCACTGAGTAGGAGTCCCTGTGAGTCTAGTCGTGTGGGGACCATGGGGCCGTGGGCACAGGTGCAGCAGAGGTGGGTCTGGGCACAGAGGGATGTGCTGGTCTCTGCCTCCAACTGCCCAGACACTCAGTACAGGTGCGAAGGAATCACACCAGACTGTTTTCTTGCTACTAAAGTGAGACAATGAGTAATACAACATAGGCTGAGAAAGTTCTGTTTGTAATATGAACACATTTTAAAACAGCCAAGACAAAATCCTAACAGGAATCACATGACACAGATGTGCAGAACTCCACGGACTAAGATAAGAGTCAGTTCCTACACTGAGTAGGCATGCTTCACACTCCACTGGTAGCTGTGGAGACTTCCACAGTTACTACTTTTTCTGAGAAGTTAAATCAAATCTATGAAAACTTTACATGCATCACATGACTAGAAATGTTAGGTGAATGGTCTATCTCTGCACATGTTTCTGAGGGTATTCCTGGAAATGACACTGAACACTCTTACAAGCCCTTCCAGAAGATCAGTGATCCCTTTTCTGTGACCTTGACCAGGAAGCTCACTGTATATTTACATTTTCATTTTCTTCACTGGAGATGAGACCAAATTTGTTATCTAAGTCATGTTTGTACCTGCCACAGTTGTGGATTCCTGGGAGTGAGATGCACCAGTAACCAGGACAATGTCTCAGAGTCACAGTATCAGGAAACCAGACCCTGGATGTGTGAAGAGAGTCAGTGACCTGCCCAGCTTTAGAAACCAGCTGGGCTCTCAGGGTTTTGGTCCGTGAAGAGGTGAGTGCTCTGCCATCTTCAAGGGGCGCTGTGGGACTACCCTGGTGTTAACTACCAGGCTGGTCACAGGGACCATTCAGTCCTGGGGGGTTGGGCCTGGAGGTTGGGCCCTGTGTCCCCTGATGGGGACTCAGCAGCTGTGTCCTCTCAGGCCTGGCAGGGTCTGCAGAGCAGGGACCTTTGTGTGGTCTCAGCAGGTGCTTCCTCCGACGGCTCTCCCAGGGGGTGACACCAAGCACCATCCTCCTTGGTCTGGGTGTGAGCTGAGCTCCAGCACCAGGGCTCAGGGAGGGGCTGGGCAGTCCCTGGGTAGACACACATTTGCATGGACAGCCCCTCCCCTGGCAGAGGGTGGGCAGAAAAGGAGGCCTGGGCAGCTAAGCCCCACTGTGGGCTCAGGGACTATGTGCACCATGGCCTGGACTCTTCTCCTCCTCGTGCTCCTCTCTCACTGCACAGGTAGGGTCAGGCCTCCGGGAGTTGGGCTCAGTTCCCAAGGTTATTCCCTTCCTGCTCCATCTCCTGAGAAGGCTGCCCTGGTTCTGGCCCATCACTGACAAGTGTTTGTGTTGCTGCAGGTTCCCTCTCCCAGCCTGTGCTGACTCAGCCGCCCTCCCTCTCTGCTTCTCTGGGAGCCACAGCCAGACTCACCTGCACCCTCCGCAGTGGCTTCAGTGTTGGCAGCTACTACATAAACTGGTTCCAGCAGAATCCAGGGAGCCCTCCCCGGTATCTCCTGTGGTATAAATCAGGCTCAGAGAAGCACCAGGGCTCCGGGGTCCCCAGCCGCTTCTCTGGGTCCAAAGATGCCTCGGCCAATGCAGGGCTTCTGATCATCTCTGGGCTGCAGCCTGAGGACGAGGCCGACTATTACTGTGCTACAAATCATTGGAGTGTGAGCATCCACAGTGACTCACAGTGGCTCAGATGACGAGGAAGTGAGACAAAGCCCTGGGCCCAGAGGTTATGCTCTGAGCGTCACGGGAGCTTCTGTGGAGGCCTCTGCAAGGTGGGCTCCTCTGCAGTCAGAAACGTCCATGGATGGGGGGGAGCAGCACACAGTCATGAGTGAGAGCACAGGGTGTCCCGGGTCACTCTCGCTGAAGGGGTGCCAAAGCCTGACTGACTGTCCACACAGTTTCTGGGGTGAATTTTAACAAAATAAATATTTTTAGATAAAAATCTCATTTCCTTTTATTGTTGTGTTTGTTTCTGCCCACATAAAACACTTCATCTGACAGTCTGGTCACCAAATGTGGGTGCATTGTTTTTTTTTTTTTTTTTTTTTACTGTAAGGAATTCCCTGTGGCAGTAGCTGGATGTCCCACCACACAACTCAGCTCTCACACGACTGCCCAGAGACGGTCCAGGTTCGCAGGGAAGGGCTCCGTCCCGGATGCTGGTCACAAGCAGGATGGCCCAGGTGTCATTAATGCATTGGATATAAATGGAAGTTTCCCATGTTCCCTCCCTTCATTGGAATTAATTTGCTCACACCACCTGAACTCTTCTCCCTCCTCAAGAAACTGGGAGGCAGGTATGCAAATTCCAGGCTTTGTATCCTGCCTCTGTGTATGAGGGAGCAGTCCTCCCCCAGGAGCCCACCACCAGTCACCTCATTAGAACAAAAGGAGCACCTATTACCCAGGATATTTCATGGTGAGGTGTTCTGTGCAAGGAACCAGGGGCAGAGACCAATATAAATTCTCTATTATCTCACAGCACTGTGTCTACAACTACAAATGATGACCCTGACAGTCATTGTCACCCAAATCAATGTTATAATTCAGAATCTTGTGTTACTTCTGGAACAACCCCACAGTCCCAGGACCTTCAGCCTGACCCTGGACACTGGGCTCTTGGGCACCCTCCATGACTGGTGACCTCACGACTGTCAGTGGGTTCTCCTGAGCCCACAGGCACTGACTGTCCCCCTGTCCTCTCACACTTCCCTGGGCTCCCCAGCCATCCAGGCTGTGGGCTGGGCTGCGGGGCATCAGGAGCTGGAAGTCCCCAGTGTGTGCCCGTGTTTCCTCCCCCATGAAGCTGCTGATGAGCCCAGACCCCAGGTGAGCTTCTCCTGCACAGGAAGCAGCAGACACATTGGGGTTGACCATGGCCACCCTCCCAAAGCCTCCCAAGTAGAGCCCACTTTTGTGACATAGAAGAGTTTTGAGGGACCATCTAAGGTTTCTAGTCTCCTTTTCTGAACTCAGTGTTGTCACCAGAACCTCTTAACCACCTCTGGGGTCCAGCCCCTGGGAGAGGCTGACGATCATGGTTACAGAGCTGAACACAACCCAATGCCACAACGATGGCCTGTTCCATGGGGACAAGTGATAAATCTGCCCTTCTTGCCCCGTCCTGGCTCATCAGTCCCCTGTCCTTCCCTGTGACCAACACTTGCTCTGGAATTGGCTTCTGCTGTCACTTCAGTTTTTAGAATAAAAAATTTGATTGTCTGAATTCTTTCTTTGTGGTGTCAATGAAAATATCTCCATTTGAAGATATGGTTCCCCCAGAGCAGACAGAATTGCTTTGCTTCCAGAGCAAAAGAGCCCCCCAGTGCTGAGCGGGGTTGGGAAAGGCCCAAGTGCAGCACGTGAGACCCCAGAAGACCAGGTGGGCTCCTGTGCTTCAGTGTTGCTCCATGGGATCAGGAGAGAAGCATTTCTCAGGCACATGATGGGTAGAGTATGGTGTGGCAAGATTTGTCTGAGTGCACATACAAGGCTGCCCCTGTGTCACATGTGTGTCTGTCCTGGTATGGAAAACGTTCAACAGTGTCTTCAGCAAGGCCACAACAAGACCAGTAAGTTTCCAGAGTTTCTGGTTGTTATTAAAGCTTAGTGTTTAGGGACCACAGGATCTGCTGTGGGCCCTGCTTGGCTGCTAGACCCACATTGTTGCTATGGACACACTGAACAAAAGGGCTGATTGCCTGTTCCCGTGTGAAGGAGAGAGAGAAAGATGGAGAGAGAGAGAGAGAGAGAGAGAGAGAGAGAGAGAGAGAGAAAGAGAGAGAGAGGGAGAGAGAGGTCTCTTTGTTCCCTAGGAGCCAGGATACTCCTCCTCCCAGGGGAGTTGAGGGTTTTAATCTCTTTGGAGGGACAAGGCTGCCATCCCCTGGGGAGAGTGAAGCTGTAGCTTCCTGGCTAAGCAAAGAAACGGAAACTCCCCAGTTCATTTTGCTTAATCATGTCTGATTCCCTTTGCTTCCTTCCTTCCTTTATTCACACCCAGCTCACACGTGCACAGTAACCTGCACGATCCCTGGTACCAGCCTGGGCTTCACATGTACTTCTCTGAGCTTTCAAACCACAGAGAATTTGTTTTTCATCTGATTTAAGACCTTTGTGCAGCTTTCAAATTCTTATGTAATGGAGAACGTCACCCTCCCCTCCACTGAGAAGTCTCAACAGTCTTATTACTAAGGAACATGTAAGGCTGGGAGATCAATGTGAAAAGATGGTGGACATAAGGTGTTAAAGGGAAATTACACGTGTAACAACGAGGGACCACCAGGTTCCCATCAGCATGGCCAACACTCTGGCAGGGACTCTCATTCGTGCTGCTGGGACCCACCAGCCATGGGCACCTTTGGAGACACTTTGGCAGTTTGTCACAAAGTTAAAACACACGCTTGTGTGATACAACACAGAAATCAGTCTAGGTTTTTATTTAAATCAGTCACTTGTGTTCAAACAAGCATATGCACATGAAGTTATAGTTTATTTACCTACGCTTTTTAAAACTTAGAAAGCAACTGCTATGTCCTTTTGTAGGTGAATGAACCAACAAACTGTCAATATGATTGTCAATATCAATAAATGACTGTTCAGGCCACAGGAGGACATGAAGGAAGCTAACACACATATTTCTAAGTGAACAGAGCCCACCTGAAAAGTTTGGGTCTGGGAGGGGCACAGGGTCAGGGCCAGGAGGAGGGCCAGGAGCCCTGAGGATTATCAGCACCAGCCTGAGGGTGCCATGTCTGCTGTTTCCACCAGAGGGTGTCTGTGCCCCATACATTCCTTAGCTGTCAGTCCTGCCCCTGACTCTTGCCTGTTTCCTGTGTCATCTTTGGACTGAAGCCCTCCCACTCCTGTGATCTCTTGTTCTCAGTGGGAGCCTTGGCTTCTCTTAAAGGAGGGGCTTGAAGAGCCAATAAAAGGGAAGATTTGCATAATGACATCTCACTCTAAGCCTCAGGATGACATAAAGGTCTGAAGACTCAGTCCTGGCTGTGGGGCTCAGGAAGCAGAGTCTGGGGGCGTCTCCACCATGGACTGGGCTGCACTTCTCCTCACTGTCCTGGCTCACTGCACAGGTGGGGCCTGAGGGGGATTCTGGGAGGCCACCACCTTGTTCCCTGGGTTGATGACACGCCTCCTCCCTGGGAACAAGATCTGTCCTGTCCTCACTGATGTCTGTGTTTCTCTTTCTTGCAGGGTCTTGGGCCCAGTTTGTGCTGACTCAGCCTGGCTCTGTGTCTGGGTCTCAAGGACAGACAACCACCATCTCCTGTACCCGCAGCAGTGGCAACATTGAGGATGGTTATGTGTCTTGGTACCAACAGCGCCCAGGCAGGGGCCCCACCACTGTGATCTATAGAGATAAGCAAAGACCCTCTGGGGTTCCAGATCGGTTCTCTGGCTCCATAGACAGCTCCTCCAACACTGCCTCCCTGACCATCTCAGGGCTGCAGCCTGAGGACGAGGCCGACTACTACTGTCAGTCTTACTGCAGTAGTGGTGGTGGTGTCTACAATCACACAGTACTGCAGACTCAGGGAGAAGTGAGACCAAAACCCCCAGAGCTTCCCCTTCTGGGTCTGCACTCAGCCTGTCCTCACCAAGGAGGGTGGTCTCCTCTGTCTCCTGCTGGAAAGTTTGTGTAGAGATTGGAGGTTTCTGAGTCCCTCTATTTTCTTTCCAACTTTCCCCCTGTCAGGGAGGTTGGTTGCCTATTTCCTGTACACTGAATTCCTGAGGGTGAGTTCGTTCAGAGCAGGGTGTGAGAGCCTGTGTGTTTGTGGAATGGGGGCAGGTCAGTGGTTGTGGGGGGCTGTTCTGTGCATGTGGGACTTTCAGATGCATCCTTTCGTCTATGCTCATAGATGACAGTGACACCCTCTTGTTAGGTTATGACCCTCGACACCACCTCCAGATTTCCAAATATCCCATGATGGGGCTCAATGACCCTGTTATACAGAGCAACAGGTGGGGGCCTGGGACAATATACTATTACCCCAAAGGTTTGTTATGTTCGCCGCCAGAGGAAAAACATCTCTCAATGCCAGAGATTCACGAAAAGGAAAGGAAATGTTTATTTAATGGATATAGACTTCAAGTAGTGACCGAATGTCTTCATCAAAATCCCCAAATCCCTTAAAACACCAACGAACACACCCAGTTCTTCCTTCCCCCTTTTGCCTAGTCTGAGGTACCGTATCTCAGGAAAAGAAATAGAAGACTGTGGCTCAGGCAGCCCCCAGTTCTTCCCAGTAATCTGTCTCAGGTGGTAGGCCTCCCTCCTGGCACCATCAGCTGTGTTGCTGGGATCTCTGCTAAAGCCATTGGTGGTTTCCCCTTCCAAAGCTGGGAGGGTCCCCACTCTGGCAAAGCCTCGTGGCTCTCTCTGAACAATGCCTGCGGGAGCATCCACTCAGCCAAAACCGCGTGCTTCTCCCTCTATTGCCACAGCCACATGGCTCCCTCTGCACTGCCACAGCCACCTGGTTCTCCCTCCAATCGCTGCAACACTTCGTTTAAATCCCTGCACCAGTCCTCTGCAGCCCCATTTCCGACTCCTCCCACCATCGGCTACACTTGCCAGCACTCCCATATCCTTTCAGCTTCACTGGGCTGCCATCATAGGTCTGGGCAGGCGTGGCCCTATGTCATGGATCCAATCTTCTCCAAGCTCCCATGCAGGCTCTGTAACTAGGGGGACCTGCCCCACAGTTACATCTTGGTGGGGAAGTTACTTCCATTCCCCTGGCTCATAGCATGGTCACAGCTATTTAACATATCTATGTAACCAGTTAAAGGTTATAGATATGTTAAATGACCATGCCAGAGGTTAGCTGCAAAGGTGTTGCTATGCAAAATAGCTCTCAATATCCCTGCTACATTTGTCCCTTCCCCCAACCCACACCTGGAGAGGAGGGGGCCGTGTGGCGGTGAGGACATCCTAATATTTCCTGAACACCCTGAGCTCTGGACTCCATTTTAAATCCCTATTTGGGGTCCCCCTCTTGGCTGCACCCTGTTACAACCCCAGGGTGAGACCCATGGGGTTAAACGGACATGTTCTAGGCTGTTAGGTAGCCTTAGCTTTGAGTCTTGTTCATGCCAGTAAACTGGAGGGAGACTTATGTGCCATCTCTCCGTGCTTCTGAGCTCCCGTCTGTGAGAAAAAAGTGTCACACAGACTCAGGTGAGGGCAGAGCCTGTGGCCCAGTCATGTGGAAAGTCCTGCCAATCAGTGTGAAGGACAGAGAAGGACAGCTAGTGTGGGTGTGGGAGTTTAGGGGGTGGAGGGATTGAGCAAAGGGAAAGGACTCAAGGGCATGGACAACAGTGTGGTGGTTGCTGGCGGGAGGAGGGCATAAGGGGACTAAATGTTAATGGGATAAATACAATGAAGGTTAAATAAAAGAAAGAAACAAACAAACAGAACACCTAACATGTGGGGTATAATATTTGGCTAAAGTATGTGTGCAGATAATATTTTAAAATTTTACACATTGCACATAAAAATATTTCACATCTATATCATTTACTCTCTTAGGCAGCATTTTCAAGCCTGAGACACAAAGGTGAATGAACACCTGACAGGGTCTTGTGCCCTTGGGGTCAGGTGTGTGTGTGGGTCCTGGAGCACAGACAGAGCAGCAGGTGGGTGAGGAGCAGACACTGAGGACAGAAGACACGACCACCCCCATGAGCACGTGACCTGTCAGGGCAACGTGGTTGTTTGAATGTATGCTCACATTTCCCTTAAATAACAGTCAGTGAGGTCATCAGTTGTCACCTGGGACTAACACACAGCTCAGAGTCCACCATGTGATCAGTGAAACATAACATTCAACTTTTCAACCCAAATTCCCACACAGGACTCGAGTGCAGAAATTCATAAAGGAAGAACCATGGGTTTGAAATGTCTGTGTGAATGAGTCAGGACTCTGCCCTGTGACGTGGGTGAAGGGAGCCGATAAATGATGGTCCGAGGCCGTGTGTGCTGGTCTGGACTTCCCTCTGCTCACATGTGTGACCTCTGAACCTCATGACTCCAAACACAAGAAGCCTGTTTCTCCTCTCTGTCTCACTCAGCACAGCAGTCAGTCAGCTGATCATTGCAGTGATTTCTACTCACGTACATTCATGTGATGGTGGTTGGGACCCGTTGCTGTCCTGTGCAGAGTTTGGGGAGATAAATGATACTTACGCTACAACATGTGCTGATGAGGGTCATGGTCTGGGGTGTGTTCTCAACGTCAGCGAGGGAGCAGAGTGAGAGGTGTAGGGAGTACAGGATTGAACAAGGGGCATCCTATGGAGGGTGGATGAGCTCATATAATCGATGCAGGCAGTGCTTTGAACTATTTTGTGTAGTTTGTGTGACTTTTTTTAAAAGTTGTATATTTATTATAAAGCTCTTTTTCAAGATTCTATTGATTATTTTTATTTTTAGAGAGGGAAGGGAGGGAGAAAGAGAGAGAGAGAAACATCAATGTGCGGTTGGTGGGGGCCGTGGCCTGCAACCCAGGCAGGTGCCGTGACTGGGAATCGAACCTGCGACACTTTGGTTCGCAGCCCGCGCTCAATCCATTGAGCTACACCAGCCAGGGCTGTTTGTGTGACTTTTACATTGTGAGATTGATTCTCTAATTCTGTCTGCGATGACATGTGCATGCCTACTACTGAGAGCCACTCAGAATGGCCGAAATATGAATGTTACCATGATTAAAGTTTAATCCCATTTCCTTCCTAAGGACAGCAGAGGACAAGTCAACACTATGAAGGGACAGGAGTCAGGGAGCAGAAGTAACAGGGAAGTGGGGAAGCTGGACGTCTGAGAGCACGTGGAGGGGCTGTGTGAAGGGTAGATCCCACCATGAAGTCCCCTGAGGGGAGCCCAGGAGTTGGGGTTCTGTGCAGACAGTAGTGAGGTGTCCCTGAGGGTCTTAAGCAGGGGGTGACTTCTCTCAGGTGAATGAGAAAGGCCCCTTGAGGGTCTCGAGGATGCAGTGCCCGAGGTGGGCAAGTGATCCTGGCCAGAGTCATTTACTAGGCGTCCCTGTGAGTCTAGACGTGAGGGGACCATGGGACTGTGGCCACAGGTGCAGCAGAGGTGGACCCGGGCACTGAGGGATGTGGTGGTCTCTGCCTCCATCTGCCCAGACACCCAGTACAGGTACCGACTGGTATCTTGCTACTAAAGTGAGGCAATGAGTAAGACAATACAGGCTGGGAAAGTACTGTGAATAATATAAACACATTTTAGGACTCCCAAAGCAAATATTTAACCAGAGACACATGACACAGGTAGGCAGAACACTAAGCAGAAAAAATAGCAAAAAACAAGGAGTAAAAGTTAATTTGTAAAATGAATTAGCATGTGACACTTCCCACTGTTAAATGGGAGCCCTTCAAAAGCCATTCTCTTTACCAGGCATTGAATCAGATCAGATCTGTCAAAACCGTACAGAAATCACATGACTTGAAAGGTTTGCTGAGCTGGCCTCCTCCGCACGTGAATCTGAGTCTGTTCCTGAAAATTTCTCTGAAACACCCACACGAGTCCTTCCATCCAGATGCATATGTGCCTGGCCTGTGAACTGCACATGAATCTAACTTTGAATTTACTTTTGCAGCATCTTCACTGAATGTGAGATAAATTAACTTGTCACTCCCATACATGTTTGTATCTCACACAGAAGGGGACCCCTGGCAGCGAGATGCCACAGTAACCAGTACAGTCTGTCAGAGTCACAGTATCTGGCAACCAGACCCTGGAGGTGTGAACAGAGTCAGTGACCTGCTGAGCTGCAGAAACCAGCTGGGCTGTCAAGGCCTTGGGTCGAATGGGGAGGTGTAGCCACTGCCACCAGAAGGGGGCACTGAGGGACTGCCCTGGGGGAGCCCATCAAGCTGCTGATTAGGGACCACTCAGTGACAGGAGCCTGGGACTGGGGGCTAGGCCCCGTGCATAGGGAAAGGGAATCAGCAGCAGTGTCCTCTGTGGTTTGATGATGTCCCCTGAGAAGGGACCTCTGTGTTGTTCTAAGAGGTGCTTCCCTTTACAGTTCTCCCAAAGGGCAAGGCCAACCTCCATCCTCCTCAGTTTAGGGTGTGAACTGAATTCCAGCACCAGGGCTCAGGGAGGGGCTGGGCAGTCCCTGGATGAAAACACATTTGCATGGACAGCCCCTCCTCTGGCAGAGGGTGGGGAGAAAAGGAGGCCTGGGCAGCATAGCCTCACTGTGGGCTCAGGGGTTGTGTGCACCATGGCCTGGACCCCTCTCCTCCTCATGCTCCTCTCTCACTGCACAGGTAGGGACAGGCCTCGGGGACCAGGCCTAAGGTCCCTACCTTATTCCCTTTCCATCTCCTGAGAGAATTCCCTTGCTTCTGGCCCATCACTGACAAATGTCTGTGTTTCTGCAGGTTCCCTCTCCCAGCCTGTGCTGACTCAGCTGACCTCCCTCTCTGCTTCTCTGGGAGCCACAGCCAGACTCACCTGCACCTTCAACAGTGGCTTCAGTGTAGACAACTACTACATATACTGGTTCCAGCAGAATCCAGGGAGCCCTCCCCGGTATCTCCTGGCATATAAATCAGACTCAGACAAGCACCAGGGCTCCAGGGTCCCCAGCCGCTTCTCTGGATACAAAGATACCTCGGCCAATGCAGGGCTTCTGTACATCTCTGGGCTTCAGCCTGAGGACGAGGCCGACTATTACTGTGCTGTATTTCATGGCAGTTGGAGTAGCTACAGTTACTCACAGTGCCTCAGATGACGAGGAAGTGAGACAGAAACCCCTGGGCCCAGAGGTCATGGCTCTGAACCTCACGGGAGCTTCTGTGGAGGCCTCTGCAAGGTGGGCTCCTCTGCAGTCAGAAACGTCCATGGAAGCGGGCGGAGCAGCACACAGTCATGATTGAGAGCACAGGGCGTCCCCAGGTCCCTCTGGCAGAAGGGGTGACGAAGCCCGACTGACCATCTGCATAGTGTGTGGAGTAAATTTTAAGAAGAATGATATTTTTATGTAATAGTCTCAGTCTTTCATCCTGTTGTCTTGTTTTGTAGTTAGGATCCTTCACTTCTGACACATCTGGTCACCAAATATGGGGGCATTTTTCTTCACAACCAGTGATTCTCTGTGACAGCAGCTGGATGTCCCACCACACAACTCAGCTCTCACACGCGGTGCCTGGAGACGGTGTCGGGTCCACCGTGAATGGCCCTGTCCCATGCGATTGCCCGCACCTCAGCTGCCAGTCACAAGTAGGGCGCCTGCAAGTCTCGTACAACTATTTGGCTGTAACTCGAAGGCTCCCAGGGTCCTTAATTTGGTTTGAGTTAATTTGCTGACTCCACCTGAGCGCTTCTGCCTTCTCAAGGAAATGTGGGACAGGTGTGTGAATTCCAAGCTTTGAATCATTCGTGTGTCTTTTGTGTGAGCCGTCCTCCCCAGGAGCCCACCCAGAGCCACCTCATTAGAACAAAAGGAACACCTGTCTCCCAGGAACTTCAAGGTCAAGAGGCTGAGACCCATATATATTTTCTCTTTTCTCAATACTGTGTCTGCAAGTACCTGTGAATACACATACAGTCATGTGAACCCACAAATTAATGTCATAACTGTGAACATTTTGTTACTTCTTCAATGTCTCCACAGTCCCAGGCCTTTCAGCCTGACCCTGGGCTCTGTGCCCTTGGGCGCCCTACATGACTGGTGACCTCATGACTGTCAGTGGTTCTGCTGAGTCCACAGGCACTGACTGTCCCCCTGTCCTCTCGCACTTCCCTGGGCTCCCCAGCCATCCAGGCTGTGGGCTGGGCTGCAGGGCATCAGGAGCAGGAAGTTCCCAGTTGGTGCCTGGGTTTCCTCCCTCATGAAGCTGCTGATGAGCCCAGACCCAGGTGAGCTTCTCCTGCACAGGAAGCAGCAGATACATTGCAGGTGACCATGGCAATGTGTCCAAGGCCTCCCAGGTACAGCCCATACATTTGTGACCCAGAAGAACAGTGAGGGACCTTCCTGGGTTTGAGTCTCCTTCTCCGAATTCAGTGATGTCACCAGAACCTCTTGACCACCTTTGGGTTCCAGCCCCTGGGACAGGCTGACGATCATGGTTACAGAGCGGAACACAAGCCGATGCCACACAGCTCTCCTGCTCCACGGGGACAAGGGATGAACCTGCTGTCCCGGCCCCTGGCTCATCAGTGCCCTGTCCTTCCCTGTGACCAACACCTGCTCTGCAGTTGGCTTCTGATGTCACATGTGATTTCAAAAAAACACTTCAGTCTCTGAACTTTTTCTTTGTGGGGTCAATGAAAATATCTTAGATGAAAATATAGTTCCCCCAGTGTATACAGAACTGCTTTGCTTCCACAGCAAAAGAGCCCCCCAGTGCTGAGTGGGGTGGGAAAGGCCCAAGTGCAGCACGTGAGACCCCAGAGGACCAGGTGGGCATTTCTGCTCCGGTGTTGCTTGATGGGATCACAAGGAAAGCATTTCTGAGACACTTGTGTGGCAGACAGTGGAGTGGGAAAAATTATTTGAGTCCAAATAGAAGCCTGCCCCTGTGTCACATGTCTATGTGTCCTGCCATGGAAAACATTCAACAGTGTCTTCAACAAGGCCAGAAGAAAGATAGGTAAGTATCCAGAGTTTCTGTTTCTTATTACAGATTAGTCTTTAGGGGCCACACTATCTGTGGTGGGTCCTGCTGGGCTTCTACACTCACAGTGTTGCTTGGGGGAGAAGCAGTGAACAAATAGGATTTGTGCTTGATCCTGGGGGAGAGAGAGACAGAAAGGGCAAGACAGAGAGAGAGTTTGAGAGAGAGAGAGAGAGAGAGACAGAGAGAAACTCTTTGTTCCCTGGCATTGTATTGGTTTGGGCTTCAAAAAGCCTAATGTTTCTACAAAATAACCAATCAACATCTAAGCTTACACAGGTTTGCACTGGACCAACCTTGTAATCAATCATGGCTCTTATTTCACAAGCCTCATAGAAGCACCTGCTGCTGCACATTTGGGCTTCTAGTAGAGATGTTCTAACACTCTCCTGTCTCCAGGACAACCTGGCATGGAGGTTGGCCTGTTCCCTGCAAGTGTTGGGAGAGGTGTTCACCCCTGGGAGGGTCAATGCTGCCATCCCCTGGGGAGAGTGAAGGTGTAGCTTCCTGGCTAAGCAAGCAGGCTTATGCTCGCCAGTTAATGATGCTTAATAATGTCTGATTCCCTTTGCTTCTTTGATCTCTTTCACAGTGGGAGTCATGCTTATTTAAAGGAGGGGCTTGTATACCCAATAAAAGGGAAGATTTGCATAAAGACCTCCCACTCTAACCCTCAGGCTGACATAAGGTCTGTAGACCCAGGCCTGCCTGTGGGGCTCAGGAAGCAGAGTCTGGGGGCGTCTCCACCATGGACTGGGCTGCACTTCTCCTCACTGTCCTGGCTCACTGCACAGGTGGGGCCTGAGGGGGATTCTGGGAGGGCACCACCTTGTCCCCTGGGTCTATGACACTCCTCCCTCCCTGGGAACAGGGTCTGTCCTGTCCTCACTGATCTCTGTGTTGCTCCTCCTTGCAGGGTCTTGGGCCCAGTTTGTGCTGACTCAGCCTGGCTCTGTGTCTGGGTCTCTGGGACAGACGGCCACCATCTCCTGCACCCGCAGCAGCGGCAACATTGACAACGTTTATGTGTCTTGGTACCAACAGCGCCCAGGCAGGGGCCCCACCACTGTGATCTATAGAGATAAACAAAGACCCTCTGGGGTTCCGAATCGGTTCTCTGGCTCCATAGACAGTTCCTCCAACACTGCCTCCCTGAACATCTCGGGGCTGCAGCCAGAGGACGAGGCCGACTACTACTGTCTGTCTTACTATAGTAGTGATGGTGGTACCTATACTCACACAGTGCTGCACACTAAGGGGGAAGTGAGACCAAAACTCCCAGAGCTTCCCCTTCTGGGTCTGCACTCAGCCTGTCCCCACTAAGCAGGGTGGTCTCCTCTGTCTCCTATTGGAACATTCGTGTTGAGATCGGAGCTTTCTGAGTCTCTCTGTTTTCTTTCCTACTTTCCCCCTGTCAGGGAGGTTGGTTGCCTGTTTCCTGTACCATGAATTGCTGAGGGTGAGTTAGTTCAGAGCAGGGTGTGTGAGCCTGTGTGTTTGTGGAATGGGGGTGGGTCAGTGCTTGCGGAGGGTCTGCTCTGTGCATGTGGGACACTCATATGTGTCCTCTGGGCTCTGCTCATAGATGACAGTGACACCCTCTTGTTAAGTTATGACCTTTGACACCACCTTTAGATTTCCAAATAATCACTGAGAGGGCCCCATCACCCCAGGGTGAGAACCATGGGGTTAAATGAGCGTGTTCTCAGCTGTTCAGAAGCCTTGCCTTTGAGCCTTGTTCATGCCAGTCAGCTGGACAGAGACTAATGTGCCATCTCTCTGTGCTTCTGAGTTCCTGTTTGTTAGGCTAGAGAGTTACACAGACTCATGTGAGGTCAGACCCAGTGAGCCTCTGACCCAGCTGTGTGGAAAGTCCTCTCAGTCAGTGTGAAGGGCAGCAGGAGGACAGGTAGTAGGAGGAGGGTGAGGTTAGGGGTGGAGGGGTTGAGCAAAGAGGAGAAGGACTTATGGGCATGGACAACAGTATGATGATTGCTGGGTGGGGGAGGGCATAAGAGGACTAAATGTCAGTGGAAAAAATATAATAAAGATTAAATTAAATGAACAAACAAACTCCCAATGTGTCAAGTATAACATTTGGGTAAAGTACATGTGCAGTTAATATTTTTAAATTTTACACATTGCACTTAAAGAAATTTCACATCTATATCATTTATTCTATTAAGGAGTGCATTTCAAGCCTGAGAAACAAAGATGAATGCACACATGACAGGGTCTCGTGCCCTTGGCGTCAGTTGTGTGTGGGTCTTGGAGCACAGACAGGAGCAGCGGGTGGGTGAGGAGCAGAGACTGCGGACAGAAGACAACACCACCCCCATGAGCACGCGACCTGCCTAGGGCAACGTGGTTCTTTGAATGTCTGCTCATATTTCCCTTCAATAACAGTCTGTAAGGCCATCAGTTGTCACTTGAGACTAACACACAGCTCAAAGTCCATTTGGTCAACAAAGTGTAATAATCAACTTTTAAACCCAAAGTCCCACAAAGGACTCTAGTGCAGAAACTCATGGAGGAAGAGGCATGCATTTGAAATGTCCGTGTGAACGACACAGGACTCTGCCCTGGGACGTGGGTGAAGGGAGCCGGTAAGTGATGGTCCCAGGCCGTGTGTGCTGGTCTGGACTCCTTCTGCTCCCACATGCCATCCCTGGACCTCATGACTCCAGACACAGGAGGCCTGTTCCCCCTTCCCTCTCTCACTCAGCACAGCAGTCAGTCAGCTGACCACTCCGGACATTTCTACACACGTGCAGTCATGTGACATGAGGTGGTACTCATTGCCGTCCTGTGCCAACGTTTGGGGACACACATGCGTATTTATGGTAGAACATGTGCTGATGGAAGCATATGTTGTTTCTGTTTTTTCTTCAAAAATTTTATTTATTTATTTTTAGAGAGGGGAAGGAGGAAGGGAGAAAGAAAAAGAAACAGAACGCCCCTTGGGCCCGCAAAGCAGGCATGTGCCTTGACTGGAAATCCAACCAGAAACCCTTTGGTTTGCAGGCTGGCGCTCAGTCCACTGAGCCACACTAGCCAGGGCCTGTGTGTTTGTGTTTTAAAAGTCAGTAGATACAGAGGATTGGAGGTTAAA